CTTGCCAGGCAAGCACTTATTCTACTGAGCTATCTCCCCAGCTCTCTTTTTAAATTTTTTCTCAGGGGCCGGGGAGATAGCTCAGCAGGATAAGCGCTTCCCTGGCAAGCACAAGGACCTGAGTTCAATCCCCGGTTCCGCAAAAAAAAAAAAAATAAAAATAAAATAAATAAATTTTTTCTCTCTTCTTTTTTTGAGTGGGTCTGCCAGTTAGCTCAGTTGTTTAAGCACCCACTCATGCAAATGCAGTCAGGCGCAGGATACCGCAGTTCGATCCCCACCTCCACCTGCATTATCAGACCCACCCTTAAGGCAGCCTGAGCCAGCAAAAAAAAAAAAAAAAAAAAAAATCATTTTCTTGAGACAGTTCATGTTTTAAAATTTCAATACAATCACATTTAACAATCAAAATCATAAGGCTTAAAAACTTCTGGGCTTTGGGACTAGGGAGATGGCTCAGTAGAATGAGCACTTCCCTGGCAAGCACAAGGGCCTGAGTTCAATCCCTGGTTCCACCCAAAAACTTCTGGGCTCGCTTTGGATCCACAGGCATAGTTAACTGTCAGCAGCCATTAAAATGTTTCTGATCCAGGGCCAGATAAGCAGAAGGGATAAAAACAATTTGTTTTCATTGATTTTTCAGCATACACTTTTATTAAACCTTCTTATGTAAATGAAACAAATGATTTAAATTTATAAAAACTGTATTAGTACATATTTGCAATTTATGCTCTTAGCAATCATCTTGGGGAGTGGTTCTATTTTGTTTTGTTTTTTCATTTATGTATTTGGTACAGGGTCCCACTATGCAGCTCAGACACATCTTCCTGTTTTCAGCTTTCCCAGCGCTGAGATTATAGGTGTGTGCCACCACACCCAGACTCGCTCAGCATGCAGGGCAGGGCTTATTCTACTGAGCCATCTGCCCGGCCCCTCATTTTTCATTCTTGTTGGTATTATTAATCTTAGCTCATGTTAGGGCATATAATGTTTACATTAATTGAGGTTATTAGGTTCCTGTACATGGCATATCTTTATTCAGTTTATTTCCCCTTCCACTCTACCTTACCCCTCACATCTTTTCCCTTGGACCACTTCTCTATTGCAAGACATCCACCTGCTAGTCCCCTTCTATCCATCCTTCATTATTCTCTTTGTTTAAACTTTGCCTCCCTGAATACCATATGGTGTTTAAGCTTGTCTTCTTCATTTCACTCAACACATTTTCCAGATGCTTCCATTTTTCTGCAAATGTCTCAAAGCTGTCATTCTGTACACCAGAAGAGTATTTCACTATATATAGATATCACTTTTTTTTTTTTTTTTTGCAGTGTCGGGGATAGAACTCTGGAGCTTGTACTTGCAAGGCAAGTGCTTATGCCACTAAGCTATCTCTCTGGTCTTCACATTTTCTTTATCCAATCATCAGTTAATGAGTGTACAGGCTGTTTCCAAGATCTAGCTATTAATTACAGTTGTGCTGCTTTAAACATTGGTGTGCATGTATTACTGAAATATGATCATTTAAGCTATTTGAGGAAGATACTTGGGGGGAATCTCTGGGCTGTATGGAATTTCTAATTTCAGTTCTTGGAGAACTCTCCATATTGATTTCCATAATGGTTGTACTGGTTTACATTCCCACCTACAAGGAAGAAGGGTTGTTTTTTCACCACAGCCTTGTGGAATTTGTTATTAACTTTCTTAATGATTGCCATTCTTTCTGCAGTAAGATGGAATCTTTTGAAGGGAAGGATTATTGGGAATCAACTCAGGGTCTTTCGATTGCTGAACTACATCCCTGGCCCCAGAAGATGGAATCTTTTTTTTTTTTTTTTCCTGCAGTGCCAGGATCAAACTTGGGACTACGCTTGACAGGCAGGCGCTTATGTTGCTGAGCTATCTCCCCAGTCCCAGAAGATGGAATCTTAGCTTTTTTTATTATTAATTTACATTTCTCTAGTGGCCAGAAATGTTGAGCATTTTTTCACATATTTTTGACCATCTTTACTTCTTCCTATGTGAAGTGTCTGCTGCTGCTGCTGCTGCTGCTGCTGCTTCTTCTTCTTCTTCTTCTTCTTCTTCTTCTTCTTCTTCTTCTTCTTCTTCTTCTTCTTCTTCTTCTTCTTCTTCTTCTCCTCCTCCTCCTCCT